TCCCGCTCCGAAATTATCCTGTGATCTGCTAAAAGAGGACTCGATTCAGCGGATCATTTTCCATGCTTACCATGCTAAGATTTTTCATAATGATCATACATATTTGGGGGTTAAGGGTCAAGAGTCTTCCTTGATAGTTTATGTACATGTAGCTTATCTGCAGATAGCCTAAGAGCAGCTCACAAATGGTGTCATCTCCCCCCTATACCATTTCCTGTGCTCGACTGCAAATTGAGTTCCACCCCATTAATTTTATTTATTTATTTTAAAAGTAGCATTTTTAATGACTCGCCATCCTTGGTACACCATCGTTTACTTTGCTTCACATATCGCTGGGTGTCATTGTGCTACCTAATGTATGATTTTAACGGGTACATAATCATGGAAAATAACCGATGCCAGTAGCTAAGCAATTCCAAAGCACAGCATTTCCTTGTATAGCCGTTCCTGTTTTCTTATGGAGATTTTGAAATCTAGAGTATTTCTTTCAAAATGACAGTTCTTATTTTCATTATAATAACTTTACCTTCTCTAACCACGACTGCGAGGCTGATATCCTGGCTACCATTTTTAACCCCTGTTTTGTCTCTTTTACTAGTCTAGCACCTTAGGATTCTTCTGACTAGTTACAGCTATAATTATACTGTAAATACCCCTTGTGGACACTCTCGTTCCAGCAAAAGAATGATTTTTTTCCAGTTCACCTTACACCAATTGATGCCCTATGGGGTACATGCAGTTTGTGAGTGATTAACATGTGGTCTCCAGGCTCCTACCCAGTCATCAATGGCCCTGTTTCTCCATCTGCAGCAGCAGCTGGGGTCTTGGGGCCACCCCTGCCCCCAGCTTCTGCATGCCCCCACCGTAGGGGATGGGACAGTCCAGCATGGCACAGCCCATGATACTGGGAGCCCAGAGAGCCCATGTGGTGCGGTGTCACAGGGAAGCCCGCAGGGAGCTGAAGGAGAGGTGGGTGCCGTGCCTATATGCATGTGAAATGCTTCCTTGTATATGTGCTGTGCAGTGCAAAGGAAAACACCCTTCTGTGTGCACACGCCAGGCACGGAGCCCAAGGAACCATGACCTCTGCTAGTGCTGTCCCACCAAGTATGTGACCCATGGGATACACGGCCGCTTTGAAGTTGGACAGCCCTGCCTTTCTGATTCCCAAGCACCACAAGCTCAACCAGAAAAGGTAAGCAGATGCTGAAACAACAAGACCTGAAGCTTTACAGGTATAACTACCAGCCTATCAGTTTAAACTTGCCCCTCAGTTTAGGATGTGGACACGTGGCACAGTTACACCAGTGTAACTTCCTTTGGTTTGAAAGGTGGATGTAAATGATATGGGGATGCAGAGGGGACAGACAAGCAGCGATTTCATGGTGTCTGTTCACAGTAGACCTTATACAGCCTTGTGAGTAGAGGGGGAGTTGGGAACAGCCCGTTTGCATTGAACAAACACCCGTCTCAAGATAAATACAGATACACAGCACTTATGCTGGTATAACATGTAACTGTGTAGCTTGACCCCTGTTTTTCCTAGGGTAATTCAACCCCAACTTTATATTGGTGAAAAGACTGATTACACCAGTGTTAATGTGTCATGTAGCCAAGTCCCTAGATCAGCGTAGCTTTCCCTTGTATGCATCTGCTTTTTCACAGGACCTTTTATGTGCAGAGCTAACTACCCCCATAGCCACTCAGGGGCCTGTTCTATCTTATTAAAATTTCCTTCCTAAGGCAAATGTCTACTGTATTTTTTGCTAAATCTCTTATGTATATTAGCAAGAGTTAGAGTTATATTAATCGATTTAACGGGACAGCAGGGGCCTGGGAGCTTCCCGTTCGGGGGAAATTAAAACACACGAAAAAAAGCACGTTTGGTACAATTCAAGCAGACACCAAATTAAATAAAACAACAAAGACCATGAACCTACGGGCCCTGTTCTTTGAATGATATCCCAAATTGCCAGTTGTTCATGTCTTCACAGGGGCTATAGAGCACATGAGCACTGTATAACATAGTCTAATGCTTTCTTTTGGCTACAGGTCAGGTATGGCAAACGGATGTCTACACCTGGCCCATGCTCCAAAACTGAGAATACTTCATGTAAACCACACAGCTAGCAAAATGCCTTGCCTTGCCCCCTGGAGACACAGGTTCTGCATCCTCTCAGACTCCTCACAATTCCTATGACATGAGGAAAGCCTTGCACACCTGTGTTGCCAGCCTATACATCTCAGCCCACAACTGATCCCTTAAGGTTTGCAGGCACCTCTTCTTGTATCACAAACCTGACCCTGCTAGTCAGCTCTGACTATTCAATACCTCTGTACAGAAGTGTAATGGGTAAGGTGTGTGCTCTGCGCCTAAACCTAGTGGGCACTCTTGCACCCCGCTACTGCAGCTGTGCCCCGAGGACCAAGAGCCATCGACTGCCACTGCCTGCAGCAACAGACAATGGTGCATTCAGCTGCAAGAAAAGCAGCAGCTCTGCTAGGGCGGCGCATCTCCGGGAGGCAACAGAATTGAGGGCGCCGTCTCTTCATGCCCATTTTTTACAGCTGCAAGCTGCTCCCGGAGGGCTACTGTCAGGCCCTTGGGGCAGAGTTAATATGAATTCAATTCCAAAGTGACATTGCCAGCAAAAAGGAGGTGGGGAAAGGCAGCAGCTTTTGACAGGGTGACCACCCTCCATCAGCCTTTCTAATCTCTGGACCAAGGGATGGGAAGTTGAACAGCAGTAAACCCTGACAGAAGAATCAGCATCTGTCAGAATGTGTTAAACCTTGACCAGTGCTGGGGGGAAGGAGATGGGAAGGAAAGTGAAACAAGGAGACCACCTGCTGCCAGAATGTGCTTGTTTTTGAGTAGAGACTGGAGCAGACTCCCTGTGTCAGGACTGCCAGCCCTCCCTCCTGCCCATCTAGAGGCAACGAATCCTGATTAATGCTGATGAATTCTCCTTCACCGTATCCCATTCATCCCTGGAGCAGGGGCTGGGAAAGGTGGCAAATTCTGATCCAAGAGACCGCTATCCATCTGAATTTGCTACCCAGGGGGTGGGTAAGTGGAGGTGGTGAAAGGTGAGGGACACCAAATTGTGACAGGGCATCAAATAAGAACAGTGGCTATTAGTGGCAGCAAAGAATGGGACAGCTTTCCGTGCCCACTGATGCAAATTTGAAAAATAACCATAAGAGGATGTGCTTGAGCCAAGCAAGATAAGTAGAGATGGGAGATGGTCAGCAATTCTGTCTTCACAGCACACCCAGCCATCAGATTTTTTTTGCACGTGACATTTGGAAGTCTGTCTCGATGGCAATTTCATTTGCTGAGTTATGATGCATTTATTTAAAAAAACCACAGCTGTTTAGCACACAAAATTATTCATCTCTTCCACCCTGGTTTATAAAAAAAATGCCTCCAGGAGCAAGCGTGTGCCAAGGCAGAAACTCATCTGTCATTAAGTTGCTGCTTGCCAGATAATAGCTACCCATTATAGCGAAAATTTGTAAAGATCGCTGCCAATGGACCACTACAGCACTCTGCAGTGGCACTTCTAAGAAGAAATCCTTCTCACATTAAATTCATTTTTCACTAATGGATGAGTTATAATACATGCTAAAGGCCCTGGACCGGCTGTCACTGAAACAACAAAGTTCCCCATTGCCTTGAACAGGAGGGGGCTACATGCCCCCACTCATTTAAGTAGCAAGCCAATGCCTCAAGTTCCTGGGCATCCCGTTTATCTGAGCAGGACTGTTCACCAAGGTAAGGGAGGGAGAATTTGGCCCAAAATCAGTATCAGAAAAAGGTATTGATTGCATTTATTTAGGCTAGGCTTACTTAGGTTATCAGGCTCACAAAACCCCCTTGGTATGTGGCACAATCATTGAAATATGAGCAGTTTAAGGTTACTATAGTAACTTGAATATTTAACTAACTGGTTAGTTGAGTGTTTAACTTTGATGTTACCTCAGCATAATGCTTTGAAGTCTGTGCATTTACCTGCGTGCAATAAAATGGACTTCGCAGTGCATATCTAATGATGTAAGGACAGTAAGGATTTTACAGCTTATAAGGGTCATGATCGTGCAGTAGACACTTACTGGAATATCATGCAAGTGAAGTTGCTTTAAGGAACTTGAGCAATTGTTACACATAATCATAGAAAATTAGACTTGCAAGGAACCACAGGAGGTCATCTAGTCCAACTGCATAGAATAGTTCTGATACAGACCTGCCAACCTGCAAAAGACATTAACCTCCAAAAATTACAAGGGTTTCTGTTATAGGTTATCCTCCAGGTATCCTCCAGGAAGAGCTCTATGAGAGTTAGTTGCAAAATATGAAATGATGCTGTTGGGTTGTCTTGCATATCAAGCATATATAACAAATGATGATTGTATGATATCCCACAGAGCAAATGACCTTAACGGTTACAATGGGTAGGGATAAAAATTACATGTAAACCAGTATAAGTGATCAAAAATGAGTTCAAATCTGTAACACAAAAGAAGTTCAGTGCATATAAACTGCTTTCAAAATGGCCCAAACCAGTTTAAGATAAACCTGGATGGATGTAGTATCAGACTTCACTGATTTAGGTTAAAGCTGTTTTGTGAACTTCTGTCCCACATCCCCTCCAGATTCAAGTTAACTCACAGTCTCCTAGCATCCCAGGATACTTTGCCCCTCCCCTGCAAACCCTCCCTTGCAGGGTGGGCAGGCTAGCCTTGGCCCAAGCTGTCTGGTCCAGCTAAGCAGGGAGTCGTGCTTCTGGCCTGGGCCACTGCAGGCATGTGGCTGCATTTCCAGTAACAAAAGTGAATGTCTGTTCATTTGCCTATTGGTTCAATCTACGCAGTTTAGACTAATCTGTGACAACTGAATCAATGCAGCTTTTTTAGTGTCTTTACTTAACCAAAGAAACCTAGTCTAACTGCATTAACCCTTCCAAATTTCATTGCTCAGCTCTCATGGATGATGTTACCTGTTGAACATCCTGCTGGAAAACACAGAGCTGCAGCCTTTGATGCAACCGGACCTTTCTGTGCTGCCAGATGCTTTCTAGGCGCCGCTGGTGATGCAAGACTTCATGTACCACATCCAAAACCTGGTGGACTGCTTTGGAATAGTTTGCTGTGGCAGTGAGGGATTCAGAGTTTCCAGGGCTCAGGGGACGCTGCAGGACATCCAGCAAGGCCTTCCCATCTTGGCTTACCTGAAAGATAAAGAATGAGTCTCAAGGGGGCCACTTCACTGGTGCTGATAAGACTGACTTTAACACCTGACAGCTGTAGCATGAATAACCTCATCTAGCTGATTCTTCCTTCCCCCACCCAGCTAGTCCCAATGCAGGGACTGCATTTCTATTAGAGTGAAAAGGAAGAGAGAGACTTTAAACAATTTCCATTTGATTTTTACTTAAGCATGCATCACTTGGCCTACTTTCAGGAGTGGGCCTACAGTACTTCTCAGCAGGAGCTCAAGCACTGGAGCACTGGGGTTATATAAGGATGCAGATGCCTAGATCAGCACAACACCCTGCACTGATGTTTGGCCTCTGAAAAATTCACCGCCATGTGCTGGTGTATGATGAGTAGCATTTAGAGGCAGGAGACATATTCTGGTGAGGAGGTGGCACTTTCTAAACTGCAGGGATGACTAAGACATTTATATTCTATATGATAAAGGAAAGCCCATTCTGGTGACCTTTTAAATCATGAATGCAAATTCCAAAAGGTGAAATTCGTGTTCTCTCTCATTCAGTAAGATGGACAAAAAAATAAAATAGAATATGGCAGTGTGTCTTTTTCCTTCCAGGAACAATTCAGAGACAGCTATAGATCTACCTTTTCAATTGTCCTGGGAAACACACGTGCAAATGTTGAGAGCAAAACCACTGGTGTGTTTGTACATGCTAGAAGATATTTTATACATGTCAAAAGGCTTTGTGCATGCAAAAAAGTGTACCCGAAGTATTTATTCTGTTCAGAAACTCACTAAAAACTAGAGCCATAAAATGCAAACTATAACTGAACATTCCCCTTGAATTTAACAGACGTGAGTGTTGGGATCTTTTGAGCGGCCTTGCGAATTAGGGGCCATAACCATACTTGGAACCTGCCCCCTAACCAGAAGCTAACTCCTTCCACTCACTGAGCTCCCTCTATGCTGCTGTTGTAGGCTTCACAACTGGTCTGATTCTGCTTTACACCTGGAGAGGATCCAGGCCTGATTAACACCAGCAGAATCAGGGCTAACTGCGAGGCCTCAAGAACCTGTTCTGCATCTTCTGTCAGAGCACTCTATCAAATACGATACTTGCTCGGTTCACTTTGACATGTCATGGAAGCATGGCATGACAATATTGCTGGGTGTGTTTTACTCTGGAGAATTTCCCTGGACACCTGTTAGGACTCCTGGCTAGCTGCAGTGTTAGCCCCACTCAGATTCTCCAACTCTGTCCCCAACGGGGGCTTTACCTCTTGTTTTCCCCTGTCCTAGGACAGAATGCTGCAATCCCACGTGGACAAGGAGTCTTGGGGAACAGACACCCTGCCTACTAACTGTGATTGCTCAGTGTGCCCAATGTGATTCAGCTGCTCTGCAAGATACATCTTGAAGAACTGTATCTGGGATACGAACAGCCTTTTCACTACACAACATGACTTAATCGTGTTAAGACCAAAGTATAGCAAGATAAGGGTTTCTAAAACTACAGCCTATGTGCACCTGTCTTACCTAAAAGCTTAGCTAGGATTCAGGCTCTCCCAGTATTGGATTGCACCGCAGTCACTGATTCACATTCGTCTGAGATTCATAAACTCAGGTTTGTATCTGCTCCAACGGTCTTTGTTTGAGGTGCTGTGATTACTCGCTGAGGTCTTTCTGCACCGGGACTAGCCAGACAGTTCCCCACCCCTGTCGGGGCACAGGTAAACCCGCAGGTATACCCTCATCCCCTTCAAGCTTCGATGTCCCTGTAACAGTGTTTCTTCAAGAGGGAACGGTCAGTCGTGTTGGGCGCCAGCTGCAGGGCGTTTGGAAGCTTTAAAAAGCTCCCATAAGAGTAAGCAGGAAAGGAGGAAGCAAGTTGTGCACATATATGCTTGCTACAAGAAGGGGGCCAGGCTACTGCTCTGGGAGCCAGAGCCAAAGGGCTCCTCCTTGAGTGCCTGGGACAAAGCAGAAGGGTTTTGGCTTTATTAATTTGTTGGCTTGTTTGTTGTATGAAGACTGTGTTATTTGAGAGGACTTTAGGAGTTCCTTAGAGAGCAAAGCTAGAAGCTAGCAAGTGAGGTAACCCGCTTACAGCCCCACCATGGGAATCCCTCTCACAAACACCAGAGACTGAGGTTTCAAGAGCAGCCACCGACAAAAGTCTGGTTTCCTACTGCATTTCTGGGCTTGGCCTGTGTAAGGGGGAGTGACTGGGCGAGGCAAGCTCAAGAGACTCCTCGTTGTGACACGCCAGGGACGTGGTACAGACTCACTTTACGTGTCTGTCCCCTCCTGCTGCAATTAACCCTGGGCAAACACATAACCAATAGCCCAAGGCGTAGCAAGATATCATGGTGCCCAGGACCAAGGTTGGGCACCAAGGGTGGCAATAATACTGATCAATGGAGAGCAGAAGAGAGGGAAGGGAGGGGGAAGGTTACCTGCCCCTGCTTGTGTGCTCGGGCAGCAGCTGCTACAGCTCTTCTGAGTTTGGCTGCGGCCACTGAGGATCAGGCTCACTGCAGGTTGGTGCAGCAGCCCGGCTGGCACAGACTCCATGGGGTCATTCCTGGTGCCCTCTTTGCCCCCCCTCTTCCTGCCAGACATGCTTCTGGGCTGCACATCCTGCAGCAAAGGGGGGCACGTCCCACTTGCCTCACTCAGATCTCCACGGGGCACAGGGCTGCACCTGCCCAGCTCCCTATGGCTGGACTGCGCAGGGCTGTCCCTGCTGTGGAAACGACCCTGGAGGGGGAGGCCTCTCTAAGTTGGTGCCCCCTCTCCCTACCCTAGTTACATTACTGTCAGTAGCAAACTAATTAAAAAAAAAGATGTGCTTGTGATAAGTAAAAGGATCACAGGTGCCTTCCCAGTCCTTCATATCTTCTGACTTGGCAAACTGCCTTCGGTTGAAGCAGCTCTTGCTTGGAAGAGATTTCTTTTTCAAATGCCACAGCATCTCCCATCACTGGACACAAGCTATCTCCGTTCTAAAAGTTCACTAATGAGTGGATCTTTAAAAGATAAATAGGCTCACAAGCCTGTTTAGCTGGCTGCTATGCCGCCGGGCTCCCCCCCCCCCCCCCCCCCCCACTTAAGACTGACAAAGAAGTCACTGAATTTCCTTTCAAGTGGAAGTTTTGCATTTTTCAAGGATGGTTCAAAGACAGAGGCATTAATATCACAGCTGAGCAGGTTCTGTCACAACTTTTCATAGATTCATGGACATTACAGATTTCATAGACGTTAGGGCTGGAAGAGACCCTGGAAGATCATCGAGTCCAGCCCCCCACCCCAGGGGCAGGAAGTCAGCTGGGGTCAAGAGATCCCAGCAAGATAAGCGTCCAAACATTTTTAATGTCGCCAGGCCCCAAAAAATACAATGGAGCATGACGGGTAAATCTCATGAATGTAGCAAGCCAGAAAAAAGCATGTGCATCCCTCTCACCTTTACATCACATTTTTAAGAGCTGCGTAGAATTTGTACGTGGCACGGCATAACTCTTATCCACTATTGGCTCTAAATGAGTACCGGATATATGTAAAAATGAACTGATTCGGGATCCTTGTTTCCTTGCTTCGGGCACGACAGTCCTGTTCTCAGACGCTGCAGGTAGGTGTTACTGTAACAGGATCATTTCCCTGTGCGCTGTTTATACAACTGGAAAGTAATTGAAAACCTGCACGTCCACTACAGATTGGGTCAGCACGATGTCAAAGGCCTAGCGAGCGACTAGATTAAAGGTCCCATCTGTGACAGAACAGCAGATTGGCGGATACAGCTGAGTTAAGTAAGGGAATGGTCTGCACGGCAGATGCATTGTGCCTCGGGGGACAAACAGCAAAGCAAGCCTAGTGCAATCACATTCAGCAAGATGCTGTAGTCAGCCAGGCAGCTCAGGGCTGACTCCAGAGCCCTGTATTCTCATTCATTTCTTATTCCCCACAACTGCAACGACCATCAAAAGTAGTAGAGCAACTTGCTGAACAGGAAGGGGTATCTCCAGGATATCCGGAGACAGAATGCCCACTGAAATATGAATTCACACTAGCCAGAGAAATCCCTGCAAAAGGGGGGAATCTCCAGCCAGCATAAAGACAACCAAGACACTATATATAATTCTGTATCATCTCCATCACCCACTTCCACCAACTCCTCCGCTAGAGTTGCCCCACCCAGAATAAAAGTGGTAGCAGACCTGTCGGAGGCCAGGCTGCACCAGATTTCCTGATGGTAGGAGAGGTCTTATATAAGCAGCACAAGATAAAACTTCCAGAATAGACCATTAGGAACCAGTGAGCTGCAATGGGATCCCTCTCCATAAACTGACAACCCACCTTCCAATATACATGAATATTCCTTGGGCACAATGGTCACCTGATTTGCACCTGGATCCAAGGAAAGCTCAAGTCAGTGTTAGTGTAAGGGAAAAAGAAAGAAGGCACCAGGCTACAGTCCTCATACTGTGTAGTCATCCAGCACTCAACCCTTCTAGGAGGGAGGAGACAATATTACAGTGTATGAGCAGGAAGCTTTGCCTAGAGCAGGACTGCTCAACATCTGAATGTATGGGGGGCACATGCCCCTGCCATGCTGGCTGTCCGGACTCCCCCGTGGGTGGCACTGCTCCACCCCACCTAGGGTGGGGGCACGAAGCAGAAGCTGGAGAAGAGAGGGAGAGTCTGGAGACCCCAATAGTAGCAGCTGGTGGGAGACAGGCAGCTGGGCAGAGCCTGCAGGTGGTAAATTAGCCCATGGTGGCCACGACCTGAACAGCCCTGATCTAGAGGATATGGATGGGAGATGGGTCTCCTGAACTCCAATCCAACCTTTTTAACTCATCATGGCTGTGCCCAGACGAGCATGGCCATGCGGTATGTGGTGCTGCAAACATGTCTGTGGTGTCACATACCACACATTTAGATGTTGTCCATGCTGCAAGGGCATGCTGTCTGTGCATGCGCTGCTCCACTTTTTTTTCCCTGCCGGTCTTTTTG